TTAATTCATAGACTCTTTCCCATGCTCTCCCTTAGTCTTGGAGGCATAGAGTACACATTTGACTTTGAAGCCAAGCACAGTTGGGGACAAACGAGGCAAGTTATTGTATCACCAGAGGGAAACTATTTCACCTTTCTGAACTAAATAGGTCTTCTTACTTGTTAAATAGGTAAAAAACAAAAACAAAAACAGATGATTCATTCGGAAACTGGTACAACGTGGAAGTGTATTTGGACACTCTTCAAAAAAGTGATCAAGGCTCACACAGAAGTAGAAGTTATGCCAATTAGATAAGATCAAAACAAATTACAGATTGGACAGTAGGTGGGAAAGTCCTGAACAAGGTATAATTCCACTTCTTCCCACCCTATTAGATACCATCAGGCTGGCTTATTCTTGGCCCAGTTTCTTTGGAGTGTTACCTGCTGTGGAAGAAAAGTAACTATTACAATAAAATATTCCCAGAGCTTTAAGAGTTCAAATTGGGGTATCAGTCAGACCTGGCTTTGAGTTCTATCTTGCCATTTCTGGGCTGTGTCACTTAAGGAGAGTTACTGTTTTTGAGACTTCAGTTTATCGATAAAATGGTGATAATGATAGCACCTGTCGTATAGGGGCGTACTGAGGATTAAATGAGAGTGAGAAGTGTGTAATGGTCCAGGCTTACTGCCTGACACATGGAAAGGGTTTACTAAGTGTTAACTCTTCCTTATTAGTGTGACTCGGATAAATTCTACTTTTGTTTGCAAAGAATAAAGTCAGCAGCCATTTGGGCCACTAGGGATTGTTGTTATGAGCGGCAATATTTTAGGTTTTTATGAAATGTTTTCAGTGTCTGACCAGCCATTCAAACTACTGATTGTTTATATGCTGTAGATCCTGAGAAACTTTTCCTGGTTGAGCTTCCCTTGTACGGGAAGGAAGGCAACGACACGCTGGTCCGCTGTCCTCTGACAGACCCAGAGGTGACCAATTACTCCCTCACGGGGTGCGAGGGGAAGCCTCTTCCCAAGGACTTGACGTTTGTCGCTGACCCCAAGGCCGGCATCACGATCAGGAACGTGAAGCGCGAGTATCATCGGCTCTGTCTACACTGCTCAGCGAACCAGGAGGGCAAGTCCGTGCTGTCGAAGAAATTCACCCTGAAAGTGAGGGCAGGTACGGGCCCTTGTTTGCTTTCTTCTGAGAGTCGGCGCATCCTTTTATCTAAAAGAAGACTTCTCTCTTCTCACTGGTCCAACTTAGTATGTCACTCAGGTAGCTTCTTGGATCGTTTCCCCCAGCCTCAAAATAATGCCGGCTGCTTGTGAATACTTTATTTCACAGCCTCCATCCCATGTGTTGGGTCCATGACCACCTCCAGCTGGGTGTGTCTACCAGGGATGGGCATTCAGATGGTCCTGGGGACAGTCTTTAAACCTACTGACATCAGGACATCCCAAAGTTTCATAATTGCACAAACCGTTCCTTCCAAGAGAAACTCATTGGGAAGCCTTAGTTACACTGAAAAGATTAGCATACAGATTATTCCCTCCTTGATTTACTGTTGATCTATGAATTGATTCCTCCTCAGCTATTTAATTTTAATACCTTCTCAAACTATTCACAATCTGAGGAGGAAAGTACCAGCTGACTTTGGACCTTGTTCTTAATGTGGCATTATGTAGAATATTTTGATAGCTGGAAGATACCCAGAGTTTTGTATTTCAGAGATCATCTAACTCAACACCAGTTGGCATTTAGCTATTGAGTAGTTTTTATTAAGGCTTTTGAAAAAGGATGCTCTTTGGAATTAAGAAAGTTTGATTATTTAAAACCTGTGATTTTAAGAAATAAGACGTTATTTTTATAGCACATGGAAAAGATGCCTGTTTGGTTAAAAGAATATAATTAGTTGTTGGTCACATTCTCATGAAACCAGCAAGTCAGATAAAGATGAATGCAGCTTCACTATGCCAGGGCTTCTACCTATTTCAAAATAGCATTGCTCAGGATTATTATAATCTCAAAGTAGACAGTCTGTCTTTTTCACTCGGTGTCAATGAAGTTACTTGAGGGATGTACAATTTAATTGCTGATGTCTTCAAATATACAAGTAATACAGATCGGTTAGTACCATACTTTATATCTTATTTAAAAGGCCACAAGGTGAGCTGAGGAAAGATGGTAAGTTAAAACGTTATGCTATACTACAGCCAGTTATTTGACGGCCACATTTCGTTTTATTCTAGCCATCAGAGCTGTGCCTGTTGTGTCTGTGTCCAAAGCCAGCTATCTTCTCAGGGAAGGGGAAGAATTTGCAGTGATGTGCTTGATAAAAGACGTGTCTAGCTCTGTGGACTCAATGTGGATAAGGGAGAACAGCCAGGTGAGTGGATTGTTTTCTCCATTTGCCTCAATGTATCATTCTCTCTGTGTGGGAGAGTTGAAGGTTTTTCTTTAAAAGAGTCTGTTTTTTAAAAAAATTTATTTTCTTGAAGTAGAGTTGATTTACAATGTTGTGTTAATTTCTGCTGTACAGCAAAGTGATTCAGTTATGCATACATATACATTCTTTTACGTATTCTAGAAAAGTCTGTTAATTGTCCTGGGGATGGCTCAGCTGGTGTGTCTGTCAGAGGTGGAACTGTCTGGAGTGTGTACAGATGATGTGTATTTACCCCTTTCGTTGCACCATATGTAGATGTGTACATTCATTATGAGTAACAAAGAAATGTCATTTTGTAAATTTATTTTGAGAAAGTCCTAGAGAAAACTTTAGACTCCATGCTGTTTCTTTGAATGACTTTCGTGGGGGGGAAAAAAAATTAATGGTTCAGTGAGTAACTACCTTGATTTTTATAGCTACTATGGCAACTATTCAGGCCAGATTATTTAAAATATTGGGGAAAGTTGCCAGTATTTTTCCTTCCATATTAAAAACATAAATCAATGGTCTCAGATGTTAGCCAAGAAGCCCTTCCCTCTGCCACAGAGAGGCCTGTCCATTTGAGAGATTTCTTTTTGTATGGATCTGATTTCCTCCTTTGAGGCTGCTTACCCGAGATCAGGTTGCTAATGGTTTTCTGTTTGTTTTAGTCGCTATTAATAAAATGGTTGTCATCAATCTGAAACATTTGGACACGTTTAGCTTATCATTCGTTTAACAAATGCATATTGAATGTCTACTGTATGTCAGATACCGTGTTAGGCATATCTTAAAATTAAATAAATTTTAGCCAGTTATATTTGAAGGTTTTTCTCCCTCTCTAATACTCATATTAATAACAAGGTCTTTAAAATGTCCAGTTTCCCTAATATTTTGCCTTAAGATTCCCATTGACTGAGTTTGTTGTTGTTTATTTTTTAAAGACACCAACTGTACTTGAACATTTGTTACTTTCTAAAAAAAATTTATTTACTTATGGCTGTGTTGGGTCTTCGTTTCTACGCGAGGGCTTTCTCCAGTTGTGGCAAGCGGGGGCCACTCTTCATCGCGGTGCACGGGCCTCTCACTATCGCGGCCTCTCTTGTTGTGGAGCACAGGCTCCAGACGCGCAGGCTCAGTAGTTGTGGCTCACGGGCCTAGTTGCTCCGCGGCATGTGGGATCTTCCCAGACCAGGGCTCGAACCTATGTCCCCTGCATTAACAGGTGGATTCTCAACCACTGTGCCACCAGGGAAGCCTGTGACTGAGTTTTTAATAATTTTTGTTTGAATGATCTTGGCCAACTAGTTAATTTGCTATCATGGTAGTTTTTCTTGAGTACACACATGCGTATTACGTTGGAAGAAAGGAAATACTGTCTTTCACCCTCCTCTTCCTCTTCTTCCGCCTCATGCTCTGTATTCAACATTGGCAGTTTCATGCCTGTTTAGAGAATCCTTTGCTAACCAAGTATCTATGGTGATTAGCATAATGCAAACCATTATGATGGCGTTCGTGTAGACCTGTGATGGATGATACCTTGCTAAGTGAAGCCTGCCATTAACAGGAGAATGGAACCAGTGTGTCAGAGAAACAAGTCCTATCATAAAACCAATAGCTTACATATGAACTTTTGACTAACGTTATAGAACACAGTCCCGTATTAATTGCCTTTCTATGATCCTTGATTTCAGATGAGAGAACAATTTACGGTGTGTGTAACTGAGCCTCTACATAACTTGAAAATTAGCCTTTTTGAGATGAGAATTAAATTGCCCCAGGCAGTTTTGTTCTGAGCCACTTTTTCCCAGGAGTCCTGCATGCCATTCCCAATTAATCCACTGGCACTGGTAGATAAGCCTGCAGTGTTGGGAACTCTTTGGGGAAATCCCAGTGAGCACCTCCAAGGGTTAAGGAAAAGCAAATCACATGCAAACAATATGTAATGTGTGACTTGCAGATGGGGCTCATGGCTGTATGCCAGGGTTCATCCATGAATCTTTTATTGATATCCTTTGGCTTAATTTGGAATACGTAGCACTGTTATAGCACTATCAAATTCTTTTAAAAATCCATAGTATTTGATCTGGATCATTTAGAATAAGTTTAACTCACAATGAAACAACTCTTGTAGTATTTTTGCAACTGTTTGTTTTAAAACGTAAGAGAGTCTTGGAGTTTATTCAACACTGTGAATCTTGGTTAGCTTTTCTAAGGCTTCTAAACCCTCATATTTTTGCTTGCTTTTATTATGATCTTTGGCAGTATCCTAAATTATGGCCTTCGGGTTTGGGTGTTGATGCTCTTATCAATTATTAACAAACTGTTCCTTCTAGCACCAATGTATTCATTGTCCTGTCTAGCTCCCTAAACAGGGACTCCTGGGCTCTTGCAGGAACTAGAAGGAAGATACCGGGAATCTAGAATATAGTCTGTGACCTGTCCATTGTCACTCTGCCTTTGCCGAGGAGAGGTCTGTATGATGGACTGGAAGAGGCCAGAGAAAAATGTCACTTCCCCTTTGTCTCTTCTTAACAATTACTCTCAGGCAGGAAAATGTCAGCTTTCTGCCAATTATTAGAAGAATCTCTTAGAAGGGATTATCTTCAAGTCGACATAGTGCTCCATACCGGAAAGGCCTTTAAAGACCTTTATTCTCTCATTGCCTTTTAGAAACAAAAGCTGAGACCATAGTGGCATCCTTGACTTGGCCAAGATCTCACAGTTGGTTAACCAAGCAGGTTTCTCTTCTTTTTAATTCCAAAACATTCAACTTTGGCAGTCAGCTTTTATGTATGCCTATTTTAGTGAAAAAATTTTCCAAAAATATAATAACATGAGAAAAAAAGAGAAATAGCTATAATTCTACCACTGTACATTAACAGCACTGTGCAGTAGAAATAGAATGTGAGCCTTCTATGTAATTTAAAAGTTTCTAGTAGGCACATGACAGAGTGTAAAAAAAAAAAAAAAAGTAAAATTGATTTTAATGTATTTTATTTAACCCAGTATATCCAAAATATTTTATCATATAATTAACACTTAAAAAAATTTTTTTAACATCTTTATTAGAGTATAATTGCTTTACACTGGTGTGTTAGTTTCTGCTTTATAACAGAGTGAATCAGTTATACATATACATATGTTCCCATATCTCTTCCCTCTTATGTCTCCCTCCCTCTCACCCTCCCTATCCCACCCCTCTAGGTGGTCACAAAGCACCGAGCTGATCTCCCTGTGCTATGCGGCTGCTTCCCACTAGCTATCTGTTTTACGTTTGGTAGTGTCTATACGTCCATGCCACTCTCTCACTTTGTCCCAGCTTACCCTTCCCGCTCCCTGTATCCTCAAGTCCGTTCTCTAGTAGGTCTGCATCTTTATTCCCGTCTTGCCCCTAGGTTCTTCATGACCTTTTTTTTCCCCTTAGATTCCATATATATGTGTTAGCATACGGTATTTCTTCTTCTCTTTCTGACTTACTTCACTCTGTATGACAGACTCTAGGTCCATCCGCCTCACTACAAATAACTCAATTTCATTCTTTTTATGGCTAATATTGCATTGTATATATGTGTCACATCTTCTTTATGCATTCGTCTGTCAGTGGACACTTAGGTTGCTTCCATGTCCTGGCTATTGTAAATAGAGCTGCAATGAACATTGTGGTACATGACTCTTTTTGAATTATGGTTTTCTCAGGGTATATGCCCAGTAGGGGATTGCTGGGTCATATGGTAGTTCTATTTTTAGTTTTTTAAGGAACCTCCATACTGTTCTCCATAGTAGCTGCATCAGTTTACATTCCCACCAACAGTGCAAGAGGCGGGCACTTAGGTTGTTTCCATCTCCGGGCTATTGTAAATAGAGCTGCAATGAACATTTTGGTACATGACTCTTTCTGAATTCTGGTTTCCTCAGGGTATATACCTAGTAGTGGGATTGCTGGGTCATATGGTAGTTCTATTTGTAGTTTTTTAAGGAACCTCCATACTGTTCTCCATAGTGGCTGAACCAATTCACATTCCCACCAGCAGTGCAAGAGTGTTCCCTTTTCTCCACACCCTCTCCAGCATTTATTGTTTCTAGATTTTTTGATGATGGCCATTCTGACTGGTGTGAGATGATATCTCATTGTAGTTTTGATTTGCATTTCTCTAATCAGGGAAGCCCTTGAGCATTCTTTCATGTGTTTGTTGGCAATCTGTATATCTTCTTTGGAGAATTGTCTTTTTAGGTCTTCTGCCCATTTTTCAATTGCGTTGTTTGGTTTTTTGATATTGAGCTGCATGAGCTGCTTGTAAATTTTGGAGATTAATCCTTTGTCAGTTGCTTCATTTGCAAATACTTTCTCCCATTCTGAGGGTTGTCTTTTGGTCTTGCTTATGGTCTCCTTTGCTGTGCAAAAGCTTTTAAGTTGCATTAGGTCCCATTTGTTTATTTTTGTTTTTATTTCCATTTCTCTAGGAGGTGGGTCAAAAAGGATCTTACTGTGATTTATGTCATAGAGTGCTCTGCCTATTTTTTCCTCTAAGAGTTTGATAGTGTCTGGCCTTACATTTAGGTCTTTAATCCATTTTGAGTTTTTTTTTGTGTATGGTGTTAGGGAGTGTTCTAATTTCATTCTTTTACATGTGTCTGTCCAGTTTTCCCAGCACCACTTATTGAAGAGGCTGTTTTTCTCCATGGTATATTCTTGTCTCCTTTATCAAAGATAAGGTGACCGTATATGCATGGGTTTATCTCTGGGCTTTCTATCCTGTTCCATTGATCTATATTTCTGTTTTTGTGCCAGTACCATACTGTCTTGATTACTGTAGCTTTGTAGTATAGTCTGAAGTCAGGGAGCCTGATTCCTCCAGCTCCGTTTTTCTTTCTCAAGATTGCTTTGGCTATTCGGGGTCTTTTGTGTTTCCATACAAATTGTGAAATTTTTTGTTCTAGTTCTGTGAAAAATGCCAGTGGTAGTTTGATAGGGATTGCACTGAATCTGCAGATTGCTTTGGGTAGTAGAGTCATTTTCACAGTGTTGATTCTTCCAGTCCAAGAACATGGTATATCTCTCCATCTATTTGTGTCATCTTTAATTTCTTTCATCAGTGTCTTATAATTTTCTGCATGCAGGTCTTTTGTCTCCTTAGGTAGGTTTATTCCTAGATATTCTTTTTGTTGCAATGGTAAATGGGAGTGTTTTCTTAATTTCACTTTCAGATTTTTCATCATTAATGTATAGGAATGCTAGAGATTTCTGTGCATTAATTTTGTATACTGCTACTTTACCAAATTCATAACATAAAAATTATTGATGGGATATTTTACACTACTTTTTTCATATTAAGTCTTTAAAATCTGGGACATATTTTATATTTACAACACAACTCAATTTGGACCTGCTACATTTCAAGTGCTCAGTAGTCTCAAGTGGTTAGTCCTTACAGATGCTATATTGCCCACATTTTTTTTATGTTTATTTTCTCTCTCCCCTCATGCATATGTATTAACACATGGTTGCTGTCTTAAGGTACACTCATTTTATGCTTTTTACATTAAAGAAGCATTTTTCTTATTTTCACATATTCATAATTTTGATACCTGGTGTACATTTAGGTCATCTGCAATTTTTCACCGCAGTAAATATCTTGGACCTTTTGTTTTCTATTGAGTTGTTTCCTTGAGATAAATTTGCTGGAGTTGCTCAGTGGTCTGAACATGCTTCCAAGTTGCTTTCCAGAAGGACTGTTCAGATTTACAGTACTGTGAGAATGGTCTAATGCTAATAGGTTCACCATAGCCTGGCCAGGGAATCACCCTTGATCTTGTTTCATGTCAATATCAGCTCCTGTTTAGTTTCTTTTTGAGTTGCTTCCCTCCCCCCATCGTAATAGGAATGTGTTCATGTTACAGAAAATTTGGAAGATGCAGAAAGCTCTATGCTATTCCTTTTAATCTTTTCAGAGAGTGGTTATAGTTTATATTATGGTTGTTTCCCCATGATGTTTTCCATACAAGAAATCTCTCCATGTCTTATCTGCAGATAAATATTAACAGTGGCATGGTGATATCACAAGAGTAAATGCACAACCTTTTCTCTTCAGCTCATGTGTAAATAATTTGGGATTTTTTTCTTATATGTCTTATATACTTTAGAACGCCCTTTAATACTTGTCAAAATTCTGCTGGGTAAGAACTATAGGATGAATTTTCGAGTTAGTCTTAGACACTGTAAGTCTATTTTTATTCATGAAAATAATATAAATGTTAATAAAATAGAACGATTGTTACTAGTGATGTGTTTTCTTTCAACCAGTGGGATGTAGAATAGAAAAAATATATATATACAACAGGAAGTAGTGATAGGATATAAATATGCTGACTTGTAAAATATCAGTATCCTGTATTATTTCTTATATAAGAACTTTTAAAATTTGGCACTGTTAAAAAATACTTAGCAATGCAGAGAATTTGGAATTACGTATGCTGTGGTTATTAAGAAATGAATTTTCATGTTCTTACAATCATTAATAATGACTATCTTTCAATACAATCCTGTAATATGAAGTGTTCCAATGACAGACTTGTCATGATGTTTTATTATACTTACTTAAGTAGTGTATAATGAATGCTAATACGGAGAAGTTAATTGCTGCTATTTTTAATTTATCTAGGGAAGATCCTGAATATAAATTTTATGGTAATCTTTGATTTTTTTTCCCTCTCCTTCTGAAACCAGCAGAGTAAAGAACAGGTGAAGAGGAATAGCTGGCATCAGGGTGACTTCAATTTTCTTCGTCAGGAGAGATTGACTATCAGCTCAGCAAGAGTTAATGATTCTGGCGTGTTCATGTGTTATGCCAATAATACTTTTGGATCAGCAAATGTCACAACAACCTTAGAAGTAGTAGGTAAATATCTCTGGGAATGGATAAATTACTGGCATAGTGAAGGAAGAAATTACTAGATAGTTTCCTTTTTACGTTAATGGAATGCTGAACAGATTCTTAGGGTTTTTATTATTACTGAATCAATGGATGAATATATGAAAGAAAATGATCTTTGTAGCCTCTTCCAACTAGAGCACAAAAGCAAATTCTACCAATTTAAGAGAGGCAAGTGGAAAGTTGTGACTGTGAAGCTGTTTGAACATGTCATTCTCTGCTTACCTCCCCTACCCCCACAAATAACAATGTAGGTTGAGCCTTTCCAGAAACTCTAGTCCTTGCTGAGTGACTTGACTTTGGAAATGGATGGAGACTTTTCTCTGTGGAGGAAGGCATATGCTTAGAGCTTAATCTATTTCTCTGAATCTTTTGGTGAGGTTCCTCAGCATTTTGGTTTATCGTTTTATGATTCATGGGCTCTAGTCACCCTTTGTAGCAGGAAGGACTGAATTGGCTTCTCCTCAGTACACCCCTGACCTCACCCTGTCCTTCAGCCTCACAGGCTGTAGCATAAACCTTCAGGAAGGCAGCCCACCAGGCATGGGTCATTGATTCTACAGAGCATAAAGTGAAACATAGTAACCTGTGCCCTAACCCCATCATATCTGGCATACACAACTGGTTTAGTCTTCCGTGCTTTAGATCTTACTGAATATTTATTTCCCAAGCATCTACTTAATGAGATCAGAGTGTGGTATTTTGAATTACTGAAAATAATAATTTTAAAATGACTTTGTTTACACTTTTCTTGTCTTTTTAGTACTGTTTGCATTTCATCTATTTTCTTGTCTTTTTAATGCAACCATATTCTCAGCGCTTGACTTTAAGTACTTGTAGGGTGGTGAAATTCATCATGAGCAGTAATAAAATGATGTGATATTTGTTTTCATTTCTCTCCTTTCCCCCATATTTCTTCAATAATTTATGTACCAGTGTTAGAGGTCTGCGATTTATCCCACAATAATCTCATATGATTTTGGCGTTTCTGCCCATGTTGTAATGGAAAGTATCTCACCAGACTGAATGTGAAAAAGACACTTTACTTGCAATTACAGAGCCAGCCCAGAGAAAGGGTACTACTCTGTCCCTAAACGTGATTGTGAACCATTTATTAATTTGAATAAAAGGCTATGCTTTTAAAATATTAAACTCCATAAGTGCTAATTTGCTAAGTTGATTAGGGAGCATGTTGATATATCAGCTTCAGCTCCAGAAAGCAATTAGTAAGGATGTTTGGAGCTTATTGTTGTATGTAATCAGATTTTTAAAATCCATTCATCAATTTCCAAGAATATAACTGCATAACTGGAAAGACTTGAGGCCGTGAAACCTGAATCTGGCTTTGTACTATTTCAGGAGTGGGCTGGGATGGGACGAACAGTAAGAGACAAAGAGAAAAGTAATTTCTTTAGGGGCTGGGAGTAGGATTTGGACACAGTGTGGAGTGGCGCAAAAAAGGCTTCCGGGTGGCCCCAACCTGGTTTTGAGTTGGAGCTCTGCCACTTAACTTTCAAATGCACCGCACTTTAACTCTGCCTGCATTTTCTCTTCCAAGAAACATAGCCTCTAACTCCCAAGGCTGTGGAGGGAGAAAGGCCATATATTTTGCAGATGTGCCTGGCACAGTGTTTGCACTTGATTAAATGTTAATGTCTTGTCAATTTCTTAAATCATCCTCTGTAACAAACCCAGGTGGGGTTCTTTGAGTCTAATAATTCTTACACTTCATGAATTTGAAGCTGTGTCCTATTATAGGACATAAAACTATATTGAGCAACCTGGGCTATAGAAAACTCAGGAGAACTTTAGTATTTTGTACATGATGATAGGGAGAGAACTCAGTGGAAATATCGTTGTCTGTGGTGTTTGAATATTTTGCATTGTGTGATATCTTTGAATTTATGACCTTGAGTACCTGAAAGTTTAATGTAACATTCAGACAAAACATTTATTTCCTCAAAATTAATATAAATTAGCTTAAAGAATGGCAGGGGTGTACCATTTATGATTCAGGTATTAGAACAAAGTGGTGTTTTAATTTCATTTGGATGATTTTTGATTTTCACCTGAAAAATATTTTTTCCATTGATAGAAAGGACAGTTGGACTCCATTTTTTTATTCTGAATCTGTAGGAAACTGAAGGAGAGTCAAATACTCTAATGTCAACCTCATGGGGGCTATCAATATATTTAACCAAACAGTGCCAAAGACAATGGCACTGTTTGGTTAAATGACAATATAAAATGTTACAATTAATTTTCGAATTTTGAAAAATAAATAGAAGTTTAAAACTCTTCCATAATTCCACTAACTTGATATAAGCTTTTTTAGGATTTGGTATATGATTATATTTTTATATGCAGCAGGATTTTAATTATACATACAATTTTATGTTCTCTCTCTTTCTCACTTAAAGTATGTGGAGACTCTAGGCTGTGCAACAGTAAAGAGACCAGCCTTGGCTTCTTACAGACCTGTATTCACATGTAGGCTCTGCTTTGGGTAGCCAGCTGTATGGCTTTCCAGGACTTGATTTCTTTTTCATCTATAATTAGGGGTTACAAACGTTCTCTTTCAGTATTGTTATAAGTTAAATGTTTGTCATAATTATTAAATAAAGTGTATGCTAAAGAACTTGAGGCAGTTCTTGGCACATAGTAAGCATTCCATAAATGGAGGCTATAAATATGATATTGGCAATTATTTTATGATGGTCTTTTTCAAGCTCTTCCTTGTATTATTATTATTATTATATAATAATTTCTAAGGGCTGCTTTATTTACTTAGCCAGTTCTCTATTTGCTCATTTTTAAAATTATTATGACTAGTGTAAATAGCACTTCTTTTTGCACGTAGCCATCTACCTCACTAAGAAGAGTTCTCTGGATTAAATTGAAAAATAGGTAATTTTTAGAAATCTATATTGCTAAATGCTTTCCAAAAGAGTTGTGCCCATTTACAAAGTGTAATTCAGTGTGCTACTTTAATTACACTTGCAAAATTATTCAGTTTATTTCAGATTAGTTTTGCTACTTTTCCATAGAGTGGATATACATTATTTTTTAACAGCTTTATTGAAGTTTTGCTACTTTTAATATGTGAAAAGGAATGCCTTATTTAAATTAGTAGTTTATTTTTCCTTCTATATTTTTATGTCCTCTTTTTCCTATTACCTTAATTAATTTTCCTATATATAGATATTTTTTGAAAATGTTTATGTATTTAGATTTGTCTTTTATGATTTTTATTTCTTCGGTTGCTTCTAAAAAGCCTAGAAAACTCCCCTCACCCTCCCCTCCACAAAGTTTTGATAGAAGTAAATTCCGTTGTTTAGTTAAAAATATGGTTTAATTATTAAAATGCTGTCATTGATTCATTTGTGATATATGATATGATAAGAAGATCCAAGCTTATTTTTCTCTAAATACTAAATGACATTCTTGCAACATTTTTATTAAATATTGGGGCTCTCTTCCCCTTCTTGATTTATGACATCTTCTTATCACATATACAATTATACTGGATCTGGGTATGGGCTAACTATTTAGTCCAAATACTTTTTAGCCTAATAAACATCAGGACTGGTAGTTCTAGAAGACTTATAAGATGGTGATAGATCTTTAACAGACTTGCTTAAGAGACAGAGATAAGAGAATAAACATTTCCAACATGTGTCCTTTCTCACTTTATGACCGTGATTCTCCAAGAGCAAAGTAAAATGTAAAATGGCTAGTCAAAATTCTTGTCATTGCCAATTAATACTGGATATCAGCCAATATCTTTATAATCCAAAGATGAAGTTTTGTTATTTGTCAAGATTTGAGGGATAACAGTTTCTTTCTGTCTCATTCTGCTGTGATTAGATAAAGGATTCATTAATATCTTCCCTATGATGAATACAACAGTATTTGTAAACGATGGCGAGAATGTGGATCTGGTTGTTGAGTATGAGGCATATCCCAAACCTGAACACCGACAGTGGGTATATATGAACAGAACTTCCACTGACAAGTGGGAAGATTACCCCAAGTCTGACAATGAAAGTAACATCAGGTAAGAAAAGGACCTTGTTTGGGGAATTACACGTTCCCCCGACCCCGTCCCCTTGGCTTACCGGATCCTGTTTCTGTGACCCATCAGTGTATGAGAGGACAGCTGATACGGAAGGAAGTTTGGGGCTGCTTCCTGAGTCGTCATCATTTCATTTTGCTGTGTGTTTAGAGCACACAGAAAAGGCCATGCGTCAGTTTTCTTGTTTGTAAATTGGAGGATAATTCTCTCCTAGAGTTCTGAGGATAGTTCAAAGCAGTGACTAGCATATACTAGGGACACATTAAATAATTCTTTTCAGAGAAAGAGTAATGTTAGTGCCTTTAATCATTTTTTTAAAACTGTAAGAAAACTAAGAATCATTAAGCATCTTTGGGCCAGGCGGTGAACCCAAGTTTCTTTTACATCAGACCTCTCTCTCTCTCTTTTTTTTAAAATTTTTACTTACTTACTTACTTATTTATTTATGGCTGTGTTGGGTCTTCGTTGCTGCACGCGGGCTTTCTCTAGTTGCGGTGAGCAGGGGCTACTTTTTGTTGTGGTGCATGGGCTTCTCATTGTCATGGCTTCTCTTGTTGAGGAGCACGGGCTCTAGGCGCACGGGCTTCAGTAGTTGTGTCACATGGGCTCCGTAGTTGTGGCTCGCGGGCTGTAGAGCACAGGCTCAGTAGTTGTGGTGCACGGGCTTAGTTGCTCTGTGGCATGTGGGATCTTCCTGGACCAGGGCTCGAACCCGTGTCCCCTGCATTGGCAGATGGATTCTTAACCACTGCGCCACCAGGGAAGCCCCAGACCTCTCATTTGATCCTCAAAACACTTATAATAAAAACAGTAGCAATAGTGACACTTCATGTAAGCTGTGTGTGATTTTTTTTTCCTGCCATGTGCTGTTCAAAGTCCCTCATGTACATTAACTCAATAATTTTGGTCCTCACAAATCTGATGAGGAGGCACTCTTACTTCCCTTCTTTCTATAGAAGAGGAATCTGAGACCTAGATGGGTTAATTTGACCAAGAGACCAAGGCTGATAAGAGGTAGGTGTCTAGATAGAGATAGTATTTTTTCCTAGTCAGGAGCTCTTGGCTGTTGTAAGAGTGTGGATAAGAAAGGATGCTGTCCTGGGCCTCAGTCTAAGGGTTGGAGGGAAGAGCATGGATTGGGAGGTGTCCAGGATTCCTCCTTAAAGGTGATCGGAGGGCTAGGAAAGAGGCAGGAGCTGAAGATGCTCTCAGGACTCTGGTTGTGGCAGCCAGGTTGGATGGTAAGAGGCGATACTATTCGAGGGGGAGGGGAGAGGGAGGGGACAAAGGCAATGAGCTCAGCTTGGGGTGTGTTGAATTTGAGGTTGACTGTGGTATCTTGAGCGGGGATGTTCAGGTAGAATGTATCGTAGGTCGGGTTCCCTGGATGCAGCGCCTGCAGGAGGGATTCACAGGCAAGGTCTTCATTAAAGGAGAGAGAGACCTGGCGGGGAGTTGGGGGGAACAGGGTAGAGAGGGGAAAGGAGAGAAGAAAGGGTGTGGGTGAGCCACAGTCCAGTCCCAGGGGGGGGGGGGGACGTGAGCATAGGTCTGTAAAGGAAGGAAGGCATAGGACAGGGAGGTCTGGACTAGAGGTCAGGATTTGTGAGCAGACAGTAAGTAGTTCAGGGGAGCGTGGATTGCCTGGGGAGCACGTGCAGTGTGAGAGGAGAGACTGAACCAGCCACCGCGTGTCGAGGCGGTTGTGGGGGTCAAGGGGCGCCCAGGGTGCTCCGTCCATGCTGGAGCCCGTGTCAGTAACGCCCCCGATGGTGGTACTGCGTGCTCAGTTATCACAGCCATCTACGATGTCCTTGCTGTGAAACAGAAGGTCGAATAGCACATGCTGCAGAGGACACTGGGAAGAAGCAGCGGCGGGGGTG